CAGCGTTAACCAGAACGTTTGCAAAGAAGGCAGAGGGGAGCCTGGAGCCAATCTCCAAGCCCCAATAGGGAAGGTTGCTGAAGGTGATGGAGAGTTTATGTAACTGGCCCAACATAGGGGGTTGAGAGGTAGTAGAAAGAGTGAAAAACCACACGAACCTGGAGCAAGACAGGCCTGAGACGAAATCCGAGCAATTGCAGTTAGTAGCCCCCCTAGGCTCTGGTTTTGCCATCTTCAGGATGGAAATGATAAAGCCTCCTTCACGAGCCTTGTAAGACTAAAGGAGATGTTATATGAAGAGCACCCAAAACAGGGGCTCCAGATGTCCCGCTGTTGACATTTTTGCCAACAAGAGTGATAAAGAGCAGAACGAGGCTCTGAGTCCAGTCTGAGCACTTGCCCTGTGCCAGACTGCCCTCTTGGGCACAGGCTGCTGGCGCCTGCCTCCCTGGTGGTGGTGGATTGGCAAGGCAGCCAGCCCTCTGCTCAGCCACGCCTCACCTGCTCCCAGAGGGGCTCCCCACACAGCCACGGCGTGCCACTCCTCAGGCTGCGTCCTGAGGTGTCTGACAGCAGACAGGGTCACTGCTGCAGGCAGGCTGCCCAGGGTCCTGAGACCCTGCACTTTCCCGCGGCACACTTAGCTGGCTCCCTGTGCACAGCTTCCTGACACAGCTGCGCTCTCCAGGTCAGCAGCTCTTTCCAAAGCACAAATGCTACGTGTCATGGAAGGAAGAGACTTGGATGAACTCCAGTCTGTCGCTGCCCTTAAAGACATCACAGTCAGAAATAATCACAGAGCCGAGTGGTAAGGAGGATGCTGGCAGGGGCGTGAGCAGAGTGCTTTGGGCAGCCCTGGGGCTCTAAGTGCACTGGGGATGGACACACCAGCACAGCTCACCCAGGAGAGGAGGAGGCCTCTGGCTGCAGGGGAGCGGTGAGCAGTGGGCACGGAGCCCTGAGGAGCTGGCTGATGGAGGTGCAAACAGTGGAAGGCGTCCAGGTCACAAAGCTCCATCTGCCCCACCAGCCAGAAGGGCCTGCCCCACTAAGGGTTCTTCAGTCTAGACTTGACCCTGCTCGCTCTTCCAGCCCATGGATGTCCTCAAGTTCCAGGGCCTGCTTCCCTCTGCACCTCCCTGCCTCGTGCTTTACATTCAGGGGCCTCACCACACATCATCCAGGCCCCAAACCCAGCAACTTCCCTCTTTCCCACTAAACACTGGCTTTTTGTACTGGGCACAGAACTCCTAGATGGGACCCACTCCAGCTGGTCAGGTTTCTTGTGGGCTCTACTCTGACCCTCTGTCTCATCCTCCACCAACTCAGTAAGACAAGAGACTCATTCAGACCCGGAGTGTCCCATCTGGCCCAAGCACTCACCAAGCGCAAGCCCAGCCCCTGCCATTCCCAGCCTCACCGGCTCCCAGGAGCATCCTGGAGGCGGCCAGGGCCAGGCGTGAACAGGAGCTCTTCCTCATTTGCACTGACAGGCTCTTTCCCACTTGCTCGGGGCCATGGCTTAGGTACCAGGGTTCATATCCCACTCCTCCCTCCTTCTTAGAATAAATCCTAAGGGACTATTAAAAGACAAGCCACAGTCATGGTGGTAACAGTGGACACAAGCCACCAAGCACTCCCCCAGGGCCAGGCCCAGAGTTTGGGGCAGGGACACGCAGTGTAAGTGGTGGAGGTGGGACTGGGACCAGGCTAGAGCTTCTGCCCACCCTGCCGCCAGGAAGCCTGTCCCCGGCTGGCCCTGGCCATTCTGCTAGACCTGCTTCTCCAGGGAGCAGGTGTTCCTAGTGGTTTGGTTCCACTGATCCTGCAAGAACTCAGGCTGAGTCAGGAAACAATCTCTCCCTCAATTTACCAAAGTCAGAGGCAACAAGCACAACCCAATGAAATGAAATCAAAACAACTTGCGCAAAGAACAATGTCTTGATAGTGTCCAGAACTGCCTTTCCTTGCAGCTGCTCAGCCCCCCATTTCAGGGAGCTGACACTCCTTTGACCCCCCACCTCCCACCCCGGCCGGCCCCTCCCAGCACTAAGTGGAAACAGGCCAGCTCCGGCCTCGGCCCCTGCTGGATTTCACATGCTTCTGTCTGCACAGCCTAGGGTCCCTGCCACCACAATGAGTCACACGCGGCATTCTGACAGCTTCCCGCTGTGTGACGGGAGGATCCAGAAGGACCAAAGTTTAAGTACAAGGCAGTGGAGGATGGGAAAACAGCCTCTTCCTGGTCCTGGCCCACCACTCTGGCTCCCCTGGCAAGGCCCCTGAGTTGCTGGGTGGGACAGTTAGCAAAAACAAGGCTCTCCGAGACCAGGACAAGCACCAAAGGCAAGTACCAGCTGTACCAGCCGGGCAGGGACTAGCTCTGGCTGGGACTCTAAGCTCCAGACCTCACCCTCAGCCCAGCCCAGTCAGGGTGGGAACCACACGACTAGTCTTGGGAAGCACATGGGAGTCAGGTCATCTGCAGAACAGCTCTTCTTGGAAGGTGAGGTCATGCACTAGGTGAGATGTGGACGCTGAGCGATACCAGACATGGCAGGAAGTATTTGGGGACAAAGATGTATCCCCAGGAGCCTCATGCCTGGTTATCCCATCAAATACTAGACTAGGTGCTACTCGAAGGGCTTGAAATTATCCTTCACTCCAGATGAAATTAAGATTGCAAATCAGTGGAACTTAAAATAGGAGATTATTCTGTATTACCTGGTGGGTCCAGTGTAATCCCATGAGACCTTAGCAACAGAGAGGAAGTTAGAAGAGTTGGTGGGAGAGATGATGGAAGATGGAGGCAGAGGAGAGACGAGGCAGAAGAGGGTCAGAGAGTCCACAGGGTGAGATGGCCATGACTTGTAGCTGGCTTGAAGTTGCAGGAAGGGGACCGCTAGGCAAGGGATGTAGGTGGCCTCTGGCAGCTGAGAATGACCCCCGGCAGACAGCCAGCAAAGAACCAGGGACCTCAGTCCTATGGAAGCATGGAACTGAATTCTGCCAACAACTGAAGGAGTTTGGAAACATGTTCATTCCCGGAGCCTCGAGAAAGAAACACCTTGGTTTCAACTCTGTGAGACTCTAAGCAAAAACCCAGCTGAGCCATGCTGTGCTCAGACTTTTGAGATCATAAGTGTGTAGTGCTTTAAGTCTAAGCTTGTGGTCATTTGTTACAGCAGCAAAAGAAAATTAATATACCACATAAAACCAAAGCATCGCTTCCTTCTTATCAAAACAATAAAAAGAACCGATATGGGGACAGATGACATATAATGCAGTATTTCCTTATCCTATCAGGAAAGTAGATGGGATGGCTGGGGCTCCATCATCTGTTGAACGTACATCCTTCATAGCAGGACTTCTCACCTTGGTATATAGGCATTCGGGGCGGAGTGATAACATTCTGCCGCCCCGAGCCCACCAGATGCCAGCAGCACCCCCTCCTCACCACGTCATGCCAACCAATGTTGGCAAATGTCCCTCAGGGAACTGTCCCCTGCTCAGCATCATTGCTTTATACGATCCTTTAAGGGCATGAGGCAAAGAAGAGTTTTTATAGTAAGAAAGCATTGATCTCTTAGCTGTTTTCAACTGAGTGGGCATTTACTAAATATCCATTTACCCAAATGAACGTATTACTATATGCTATGTCCAAGAGGTCACCGCTTGTTATTACTCAGGGGCTCGACATTATGCATATACATACACACATATATAAATATGTATGTTTTGATATCCATTTTTTAAACTTTCACAAGGATTACTTCTGTAATCGAAATAAAATGAACATGAATGTAACACATCGTTATCCACCAGTATTTACCGAATGGCTTCTCCGGGCCTGCCTGTGGTTAGGCACCTGGGAGGGGTCCCTCTGTTAAGGGGTGGGGGTGCAGTGAGAGAGGCCGACAGGTGAAGTGAGGAAGGTTAGCCTGTGTGCCGGGAGCAACGGAGCAGTGGAGACAGCGATGGGGGAGAGACCAGTTCTCCAAGTCTCAGACTGGGGACTGGTCGAGATGGGCTTCAGGGAGTCAGCTGCCCAGAGTCTAGTGTGCAAAGCGCTGCAGGCAGCCGGAGCAGCAGGAGCGAAGGCCTGGTGGCGAGGTGTGATGGGGACTTGCAGGTGTGCTCTCTGTCTGAAAGCTGTGGGCTAAGCAGGTATAAGGACGGAGTTGCTCCAGGACTGCGTCGCTTGAACTGTGTTATCCAAATCTGAAAGCAGCTAAGCAGCTCGGCCGAAGTTCTGCCGCTGTCCATCTGGCTGATGCACTTCAAGGCAGCCCTTCTACCCAACCCCCTCCAGGAGTCTCTGCAAGGAACCTGCCTCTGGAAAGGACACACCAGCCCTCCTCCGGTCATACCAAGGGGATGTGCACACCTGGGCTCCCACAACCCAGCTCCAGGCATCCCAAACCGTGCGTGTCTCTGCTAACTGGCCCAGCCTGCCTCCTGGCCATGCACACTTCATCTCCGGGTCCACCCTTCTGAGGGCTGACGATGTCACAAGTGTGCTTCCCCAGGCCTGAGTGGAGGCCAAGGGGAGCTGGTTTCAGGGTGGTGAGTGTGGGACAGCTGGGACATATGGGTCAGGATATGCAAACACACCCACCAGGACCCCTCACTCAAACTGTGGGGTGGACCCCTCAGGGTGGTCAGGTTGTGAGCAGGAGGCCAAGCTGCTGAATGACAGGAAGGTCAAGAATTCTAAATCTGAAGCCTGCCTTGTAAAGGTCAGTGTGGGACATTAGAACGTATTTTACTTAACAGTTCATTAGCTTGACTTGCATCTTTCAAACATCCTGATGCAGGCTGCATGGACATTTGCACCCTCGCTCTGGGACCACGAGTTTAGGAGCGCGCTGTTGTTTTTGCTCATTGATTTTTTTTTTTTTTGATGGTGAATGGACATATCACCTCCCACTTGAGTGCAGAAAGCTTAGTCCTCCCATGTCTGAGCATCTTTAAAGAATAATGGTGACAGGCTGTGTTACCTTTTCATGATCCAGAAGCTCCTGTAAAATGACTTGTCTTTCCCGGCACAGCTCCAGGAAATCTTCGGAGTGCAGACTTTCGTGTAAGGCCGGGAAGAAGGTCAGCTGGGTGCAGTCTGTCGCCTCTTCTCCCTCGCTCTCAGCCTCCTTAGCTGTCAGCTCGTCTGCAGCAGCAGAAAGGGACACTGGGTTTGAGCCTGAGCCGCCAGAAGTCACGAGGGATGGCGTGCAGCCTGGGCCCGAGTCCCTGGGAGGAACTGCCGGGTTTCAGGGCAGCTGTGAACGGTGTGGATCCCAGCAGGACCCTCACTATTTCCGGAAGTGGACACACCCCTCTGACCCCGTGGTGCGGTGACCACGCCTGCAGGTTGACGCCCTCCGGAAGGTGAGCCCGGGGCCTGGCTGCTCTCCAGTGACCACCAGGCTACATTTCAGAATTCACCTCCATTAATCAGGAAGGCAACTGCCTACAGGGTCACCCGGGAAGTGCTTTTTCTGAACTACATTTTGTTAACTCCATTAAAAGAATGAGTTTCTCAGAAACCTCTAATTACAGAAGCACTATCTTCTTATTGTAAAAAACTGGAAGCATGTGAAATTGGGAGACATTCAAAAATTGGGAGAGAGAAAATAAATACCAGCCATGTCCCCAGAGAGGGTGCTACTAACAGCAGCGTCTATTTGATGAGCACTCCCTGTGCTGGGGACCTGAAGGACATGTCTCCTCTAGTCCTACCGAGGCTGTAGATTCCACTTCATCCTCACTCACAGGTGAGGGAGTGGACAGAGGCTAAATGTTTTGCTCAAGGTCATACAGCTACTAAGAACTAGAGGCGGCGTCTGAACCGAGTCTCTCTGAGCCCTGACGCTGACCTTTCCACCTCTAGGCTGTGTGTCTTCACTGGCCTCAGTCTGGTTTACTTATGACATCTTTTTTGTACATATAAGTGTGTGCACGCACATATGTAATTCTGGACATGATAAGAATTAATGCTGAATTTATAGTTTTTCTTTTCTACATTTTTTGCTCAAGATTACACCACGAGTAATTTCCCACTCTGTTGAAAGTTCTTAGAAAGCAACTAAAGCGGCTGTGTAATAATCTCTTGCAGAAATCTTCCATGATCACCCGGCCCATCTCCTATTTTTCAGAGATACAACTAGTTTCTGTTTCCGGACGACCAAAATCTCCAGTGCTGCGATCATGTGTGCGTGCGCGCATCGAGCCTCATTCCCTGCGGCTGCACTCCTGGGCATGCGCATTTGGGTGCCAGCTAGGCCTATACCTACGTGGGTCCCCAGATCTTGCTCCTCCACCCTATCCTGGGCGTCCACCTGCCCGAAGCAGTACAATGCACATGGCTGCAAAGTCAGGGTGCTACTGGCCATTTTCTTTGTGCCAAGATGCTCATGTTTTTGACCCCCCCTCCCACCTGAGAGGCTCATATCTGGATGAATGAAAGTGCCTGCTGCTCACAGCAACAGCCATCACAGGCTCTCCTCCAGGCAGAGAAACACTGCGTAGAGACAGGCACCCAGGAAGGAAGGCTGGAGAATCACAGCCCTCTCTTCTCCTCCGCTGAGCTCCCTACTGGGAGCTGGGGGGTCCGTGCTGGAGACACGGAAGAGGCTTGGGGTCACAAGTGACCAGGGGCTCTGTATGAAGGGGGCGAGGGGACTTAGCAGCCCATGGCCCTAGTCCACGTGATTTTTACCACTGCAGCCACTCACTCTCGGGGGGGGGCAGGCAGACTCTCCTTCTGACCTGGGGTTCGGGGGCTTGTGGTGGAAAGAAGAGAAACCCCAAAACAGGCATTACAATGTCATCCCAAGTCCTGTGCTACAATGGCACCCCCAAGTCAACCTGGGTCACAGCTCACGATCCTCACTTCTGGGCTTTGTCACTGCAGACTGACGAGACAGCAGGCTCACACAGAATCAGTGCTGAGACACTAAATCACACACATCAGCTCCAGGAAGCTGTCGTTGGGGTAAGAGTATGGTATTAGCTGCAGCTCAGGATACGATGAAACTCACAGACAGGGGGCGTCTGAAGCACAAGGCAGAGTCTTCGGTAGAAACACAAAATTTGAAAGAGAGCGAGAGAGCGAGAGAGCATGTGTGTGTGTGGTGCATTCGGATGTGTTCGGGCCAAAATGACCCTTGAAAATAAACAGGATTTTCAACATATCGCCTCAACCAAATTCCTCCATGAGTATTACACAAAGCATAAGCATAAACATCCAAAATGATTCAAAGCATTTTTTTTAATTGGGGAAATAATAATGACTATCATCTCCATCATTTCCATGATCAGATAATTCAGCGTAAGTATTAAATATCTATTCCACCCATTTTCGCTCTAACACATTTTACTGTTTTCCTCCTAAGTGTTCTGGGTCACATACTGAACATGTATTGTATTTGTGGGGGTGAGGGGGACACCTTTAAAGTTTCCCTCATATTGTAAATTGATAGTTTCCCTGAAAAAAATTCTGATTGTTGAAACCTAAGTAAGAAATTCCTCCCCTAACGGAGTGTCCTGGATGGGTCCCTCTTCATTCTGGGGAGCCCACAGACAGAAGCCCTTGCACTCATGACTCGAGACGTGCAGCGTTCTCTTTCTATGATATATTAACTTCACTTTAAGAGGATGTTAAATAAAGCCAAGACTTGGTTTAACTAGTAAATAAAAAATAGAAGAACTGAATACCTTGGTTTTCAGCATTCATTTGAGACATAGCACCATTTCTGTCTTGGCTTTCCTGAAATAAAGCCAAAGAGAAATTGAATCTGGGGTACCCCACCTCACCGTTCCACAGATTCATAAACACACACACATGCGTACGACCCCTTCAAATCACTCATACACTCAAGACTCAGACGAAAGGGAAGCCAAATGCCAAATCCTAGAGGACTGCAATAAAATGTAAGTATTAATGTTCCTAAGTCAAAGGGGAAAAAACCCACAATCTTCCATTAAGTAGGATTTACAGTAATTACTGAAGATGATGCCAGGTGGGAACTGACAGCATCCTGGATGTCTGTGGTACAGGCCACTCTGGAGAGGGGGACCAGGGACAGGGTCTGGAACTGGACAGCCCAGAAGACCAGAGATCAGTTCCATAGCCAGCCTTTGGCCTTGTCAGCAGCATTATGGGCAGGTTTATTTTTCCTGCCTCCATCTAAGAAATGTATTGAGGGAAAAGTACTATATACCACCATTTATTGACAATACATTAAAAATCTAAGTGTCTACTGAATAAGTGAAATGTAATTTCTCATTAGGTTTTATAAACCTGAGGTTACAGACTGGAGAACCTTGTAATTCTAGACAGATGCCGAAGGAAATGTCTTGTGTTCCAGTGTTCGGAAACCTACTTTTTAGAATATCTTAAATCACGATTGTTCAATGAGGACACGAGATCCTATTAACAGATTCTTCTATATCTACTACCAACCCAAGGATGGTTCTCCATCCTTTAAAAGGCAAAAATGTAAGGCTGACAACAGAGAGTCCAAGCTCCCTTACAGCAAACTTTCAGAGACTGCCCAGCTCCCGTTGCCTGGGAATTCAATCCAGCTTCCGGGTCATTTGGACAAGTGGGGCACTGGCCCGAGCTTGCAGAAATAGCTGAGTTCAAGATGTTTCAAGTTAAGACAACACAGGATTTGCTTGCACAGTAATGTCCTTGGCGGCGCTGGTTATGACCACTCCACAGCACATAACTTGTGCGAGCAGACAGTGGCCATCACGTGGCTCTTTCCAAACACAGCATCCACATCACTTTACCTAAATTTTCTGTTTGTCAGCCTGGTAGTGGGTCAGCAGTGTAGATATGAACCACTCGCTCACTCCTTCATCCATTCATTCAGGCTGTACTCACAGCATCCCTTCTTGTACCCTGGGAGCTAGTCATTCTTTTCCTCTGGGAAGCAGCATCAGAAACACAGCACAGCTCTCCTACGGTCAATTGCGAATGTTCTCACTCCTACCTGCCCGTGCGAAGCACCCTCGATGAAAACAACATCAGATGCTAAAGTGAACACTTCCTGCCTGGAAGCATCCTTGTCTCGTCTCGTCTAACCCTTACCTTGAGCCTTTCTCGGCGCCGGGTCTCCAGCAGGGACAAGCGTCGGATGCGCTTCCTCATGCGAGCCGGCCCTTCTCGCCAGTCCAGTTCCCACTGGGAGCAGGGTGTGGCTACTGCCATCTGGCTCCACAAGCCCAACTCCCCAAAAAGCTGCTCCTGGATCCTGGCCCAGGCAGTGGCTGCCTTGATGTTGTCACATCTCCGCCTCTGGGAAGGAGAAAAGTGCAGTGTCACCCCAGACACATTTCTTCACTGGCTTCGCCCCCAACCTCCTGGGTGAACAGACCAAGGCCCCTATAACTGAGGAAAATCACCCCAAGAGGTAGCCCCAAGCACCTGCAGGTGGGGTAGCGTACCCTCTGGAGCCAGGACCAGGCCAGGAGAAGAAAATCAATTTGTCAGCTTGGAGACCATTTAATTTAGCTCAGGGAAGGAGAAAACCATCTGCCCTTTGGCCTTCAGATTCATCAGAGTGATAGGATGGACACAGACCCTCAGCACAGCCCTACCCTTCCAATGGACCAGAAATTTTGCCACGGCCCCTACCCTTCAAAATGATGCTGAAAACACTCCTTCCAGTGTCTAGACTGGCGATGTGGTGAGAATGCTCACAGAAGCTAAAACCTTTGACATTAATTAAAATAATCCCACCTAGTATCAATGAACTCCTCACGGCGTGCACAGGCGGCACCTGACTGTTACACCTTCTGCTGGAGTATAACTCACACCTTCTACAAGATACGTCAACATTCCTAAACTGCATTTGTATGCCACGCTGAGGTTTCATACCTCATCTGTCAAGGAAACGTTCCAATTCAGTCTGCACAGCAGAATCAACTTTGTCTGCAGCATGAACTTTTGCAATTATTGAAATATTTGATGGTGTGCACCCTACATTTTCATTTTCATTTTTCAGAAAACTAAAAGGTGACAGTGTTAATAACATGAAGCAGACCTCATAAACTTTGCGGCAAGAGGAAAGAAATGCATTGTCATGCGTTAGGCTGAGCCCCACACTCACTCTTTCTCATTTCCTCTACACGGTGACACCATGAGTGCAACTTGGTGTTTGGAAATGTTTTCTATTATCCTCATGAGGAAACCAAATCTAGAGAGGAGGGTATAGCTCAGTGGCAGAGCATATGCTTAGCATGCACAAGGTCCTGGGTTCAGTCCCCAGGATCTTCATTAAAAAATAATAATAAATTAAAAAAATAAATTAATAAAAATAAAAATCACCACTGTGTTAGAAAGGAAGAAAGAAAGGAAGAAAGGAAGAAAGAAAAACCAAGTCTAAGAGAGGAGAAGTAACTTCCCCAAGGACCAACAGGTGACTGGGCTGAGATCAAAACCCAGTCTGTCTGATTCCAGAACCTTCGCTTAAGCCTGCATGCTTTAACTTCTTTCCTGGGGACTTTGTATCATTCCAGTCATTGGTATGATTCCAATCATTCCAGTAACTTGTGATTTCTGCTGGTATTACTTCAAAGACTGACAGACTTAGATCTAGATAAACCCTGTAAATCCAGGCCATTCTGATTTGATAAATGGTTCTCAGAACTTGAAAATTCCCACAAAAACAGGACAGCTGGTATAGTGCTCAGCACCTGGTCTTTGGTGTGCAATGAACCTGGGCCGTCACCACATTTCTGCTCCTCACTATCTGTTTAAGCTAAAGGAGACTCAGCTTCCCATTCGTCAAATTTGGTTAGTAATATTACCACCATAACAGAAACATGGGTTTATGTAACTATCAAGTGAGACAATATTTTCTGGAGTTTATTACGCTGCCTTACCCAGCTTAATCAGTTAGTATTTTTATTGTGAATAAAGATCCTACTTCAAAACAAAATTGCTTTGTTTCTCCACAGTTCTTAAATTCACGTATGAAATAGTTACTGCATTTTACAAGAATGCCAATTGGTTAATAGAAAACTCCAGAAAAATAATGACTATCCGAAGCCTTTTATAGGGATTTGGTTATATGAAATGAACACTTGTTTGGGGAAAACATTTCAGCTCTTTGGAGACTGTTGCTGTGTTTGTAGTATTGAGCTTCATAAAAGGATGAACAATCCCCAGCTGTTTGGTTGTCCACCCAGGGGCTTCAAATTAGTCTTTTAAGAGTGTTCCTTTCACCCCAATCTCCACATACGCAGCCTTGAGATTCACGGCTGCTTGAGTCTTCATCACAGGACAAATCAAATGTGTTGTCTTGAACATCTGCAGCCAGACAGATGTGTGTCAGCGGCGCAGTCCCCCTGAGATGAATGACTGTTTAGTCCGTGACAGAAGGCTACGTGTGGTCACCCCACGACAGAGGACGTGAGATGACCAAATAAACAAAAGTCCTGAGTCCCTGCACCTGCAAGGGATGCTGTAACGCCCGTGTTTCTGCACAAGGTGAGGTACTCTTTCAGTTCAAACCCTGAGTGGGCCAAATGCCACACTGGATGGAGAGGCACGGATGCTGGTGTGTTAGAGGCAGGTATGATTCTCGGCCGAATAGAAACTCTGGGGTAGCATCACTGAGAGCTTCCTCTTGGCAGCCAGCCCTTCCCTACTTCCAGTCCCCAGTGCTTGGACGGCTGACCCCAGGCCTGGCTTCAGGGGTGGTGAATGGCTGTAGGATGGGCTAGTGAGCATCATTCCCTGGGATGAGGACGGGTGGTCTCTAGGGCCCGTACAGGGAACACGGCAGAGAGGTGGGTGTGTACATGTTCAAGGTAGCCCACCTCTGATCCCAGGCAACCTTGTGTGCATCAGGAAAAGGCACCTGATGTATCTGCAGCTGAGCCAGATACAGCCTACCGGCAGGCCACTCAACAACAAGACAGTCCCTTTGTGATTTCTCATCCTTTACAGGAGCCCCGTCTCGTTCCAGGATGTACAGCCAAGGGAACTGGGCATGAATTCACTCCAGCCTCAC